CGCATTACATATAACCGTTCGTTTTTCGAGTTATTGACTTTTTTTTTTTTTTTTTTTTTTTTTTTTTTTTTGATATTTTAAATTAGTTTTCAAGTTACCATTTATATTGTTTAAGTGATATTTAAAAAAAATAGGCGATAACTCGTAAACGGTTTGTTTGAGGTATATTGTATGTATTTCGATTTCGAAGAACCGAAATATGCAATAATATATTGCGAAATGGTCCGAATGATCGTATTAGTTATGCCAACCGCCGAAGTATCTACGATGTTTAGCAAAATATTAATATAATCAACTCAATATCGACATGTTTATTACATGTTGGGTTTTGCTGTGCCGGTTATATGTACTGCTGCACCATACGGCTAGCAGTCGTGGAACCAGTTGAAATAATTGAATTTGAGAACATGGAATGTTCACCGTAGTGTTCCAACATTTATTTATTTGCGCAAACTCACTGGTCAATGATTGTTCTAGTAATTGTCATAGATACTAATAACAAAATCAATGCTTGTAATGCCGATTGATGAAATCTGTTACAAAACACAGCTTGAATGATGCTGCAACATTGCAAAGATTCATCCGCGCACACACACGGCTATAGTCACAACGGCTTGAAATACGATGACATATTTTAATAGCAAACACAGCTTTTCAGTTACTGCCGACGCTGATCAATGGCAGCATGACTTGTTTTGGTATGCGATTTTAATAGCTTTGCTTTCATCTTATAGCAAATTTTGTTTAGTTTAGTTTGTTTTAAGCTAAATTTTATGTTTTAGGTTAGCTTTTAGCCAACTGAAGATTGAAGTAGATAAAACCAGATAATATATCATTATATATTATCAATCTAATGATAAAATCACAAATAATATTCAGTATAATTATTATTATTCTCAATACTTTTATTCAAAATAAAAACTGAAAAGTATAACTTTAAGTATATGTACAAGGAAAAGCAAACTTATATTTAATTAATTTTTGGATCTTTCATATTTTGTCTTCGCATGTTGCATTGACTTGTTCACAGTTTCAAATTCCCCTTCGGTAAAGTTTTGACATCTATATCCAATCATTTCTAAGGTAGTAAAAATAAAACAATCAGTTTTAATAAATAAAATAATGAGAAACTTACCTCTTGTACGGTAATCTTTGAGGCCCCTTTTATTTTATTTTTAAAAATCTTCAAATGACAACATTAAAAATATTATTGAGAATAATAATAATTAATACTGAATATTATTTGTGATTTTATCATTAGATTGATAATATAATGATATATTCGTATCCTGGTTTTATCTACTTCAATCTTCAGTTGGCTAAAAGCTAACCTAAAACATAAAATTTAGCTTAAAAACAAACTAAACAAAATTTGCTATAGATAAACAAAATTTGCTATAGAAAACACACATATATTTACATTCATTAAAATCTCATTCGAAAAGCATAAAACGTGATACCAAAAACGTAAAAAAACAAGTCCGTTAACCTAACCTAACTTATACCATTTGATCGAAAAAAGCGTCAGCGATGGCTATGAAAAGAAAATCGCTGTCATTTTATATGTAAAATTATATGGGGAAATGTCATCGATATTCATTTCCAAGCCAACTAGACGCCGTTTTTTTTATCTTATGGTGTATTTGTTATATTATTAATTATTATTAACTTGCGCGGATCCTTCATTTGAATCTTTGCAATGTTGCAGAAAAAACGTTTTAATCATCATTCAAAAACAATGTTTTTGTAGCAAGATTTCATCAATCACGGCATAACGATTAGAAATCAACATTACAAAGCAAACTGTTTGGGGATTGACTGCAATGTTGCAAATGTAATGTGAGGTTTTTGGCTTGGTGGGTATGTTTTTGATTATACTTGTACTCATAATTACTAGAACAAAAAAAATAAATTGACTTTCCAGGGGTAGAAAGAAACTTAGTAGGTTGAGAAAGAAAGTAGGTTTTTAAGAAACACCAAATAAAATAAAGTGTTTAAGACCTACTACACATTTTTAACTGTGCACGAAGTTGTTCCATATTCTCAAATTCAATTTATTTCCAACAATTTAAAATTTTTTGACCTAACAGCGGCCGTAAATTTATGGTGCGGCAGTAGATACACCTTATAACCGGCACAACTTAATTTAAAATTGCTATATGAGGTGCAAAAATTTTCGGGTTTGTGGCAATAAACATGTCGATATTGTTGGGTTGGTTATATTAGCTATTTTACGCTGTAATATAAACATCGTAGATACTTTTCTTCGACAGTTTTTTACAATTCAGTAACATGGCTAGAAATTTGTTTACACGATCATTTAGTTTAAATTGAACCGCAGTATATTATTGCATATTTCAGTTCTTCCTTCAATTCTAAGCAAAAATCGAAATACACACAATGTACCTCAAACCAACCGTTTGCGAGTTATTGACTTTTAAAAATATCACTTAAACAATATAAATGGTAACTTGAAAACTAATGTCAAATATTACTAAGTTTCACAGTTTCCGCATATTGGCATCGTTAAATGAAACCGAACATATCGAAATTAATTAAATAGAATTTTTTAAGTGATATTTTTAAAAGTCAATAACTCGAAAACGGTTGGTTTGAGGTACATAGTATGTATCTCGATTTTTGCTTAGAATTGAAGAAAGAACCGAAATGTTCAATAATATACAGGGTGTTGTACTTTTTGCGGTGCCTCTTATATTTTACCTAATAATCAGCCCTTCCCATACATATCAGCGACCCTGTATGTAACATTCCATTGAATAGTTTAAGTCATTTAAAGTAAGGAAACTAGTAGAATATCCATGAATACAAAAGTCCCTACTTACTTTTTATTTATTTTATTTTCAGAAAAACCCCATATTTGGGGGTTGAACATAAAGTAAGAGGGTCAAAGGAAGTGTTAAACTATCCATTAAAGTTTCTTAGAATGACTCAGAATTAAAAAAAATATATATATATATATATATATATATATATATATATATATATATATATATATATATATATATATATATATATATATATATATATCTTATCATTTACTTGCGCCCCTGTTTACTCAAAAGTTAATATATATACAGTTTTTCGCTTGGAAAAGAGATGATTTAATATAATAAATTAATTTATTTATAAAACTTTTATTAATCGCTTTTTCAATCCAGAACTCACCACGGGAGGTAACTAACTCTATGTCGAGTTCCATCCCCCACGCCCCCTTCCTCCTTCCTTTATACAAATTTCGATCTATTAATCTGTTTTCGGTCTCTTACTCGAAAAATACTGCTCTTTGGTTTCAAATTCTGATAAAAAAAACTTCTTGCTTCTAGTTTGACACGAATGTAGCTATCTCTTGATTCTTCACCACATACCTTACTAGATGTCTCAGTCACTAATTTCTCACAGCGCTCGACCGCCTGAGTGTGACATGGAAATTTGATTGTTTTGGGAATTATGAAGGCCTTGCTTTGAATTGCCTCTCTCAAATCGTGATCACTTTGTCAGAGGCGGCTCTGTGACATTACAATGGCTCCAATCGATCAACTATCTTCCTGGGCATCGAAATTTATTTTCGGAACTCTAAATACCCTCAGTCTGGGCGGTGTTTCTCTTGCTTTCAAAATTCGTCTGATTCCGAGTTCTCTGATATGTGGTCTTTCGTCGGATATCATCGCTAGAAGAATGTTCTCGTGGTGACCATTTGTAGAAATTACCCGTTTGATGATAGTTTTCATTTTATCAGGAAACTGTCTTGATTTGTGTACTAATTGCCACAAATGCACAGAGCCATTCTGAGAGCCGGGCTGTGTCTTATAGAAAACCAGACAGGAGCATAAACTTGCATGACAAACGTAGCCAGTAAAACAAGGATTTCTGAAGTCAAGTCTGTGGAAATATATAATCGCAGTAAACAGTTTGCTGCAGCTTGTTAGCCATCTTGTATGACTCACCTTTCCCGGATCTTTCTCAGATAAACTGTCAGCCAGATTCCATCTCGGACAGCAACACATATACGGTATTGATATTATTGGTCTGTGCTAAGATCTTTTTCATCGACATGACATAAAGCTGTGTCTATTTTCTGAAAATTTACAACTGGTCTCGATTATCATGCTGCCAGCTTAGATCCAATAGGCCCAGAGTAAGAATAAGGTCATTTAGTGTGTCCGTCTAGGTCTACAAGGAGATGGCGCAGCGGTAGTTCGTTGGTGTGAAGCAAGCAAATCAACCATTGCAGTAGTCTTTTAATATGAATTTCCAGCAGTTGTATAATCCAATAAGCCACATCCAACAACTGTTAGACATTTCAGGTCAATAGATTTAGCTTCAATGAGTGATATGATACTTTTTGATATATTCAAAGCAGTGCCGAAAGTATTCATGTTTGTATTGCCAAAATAGGTGCTTTCTGGCTCTACAATTATCGATATATATGTTTCTGCTGTTTAGTAATACGATGTCCTTTAACAAGCATCATGGTCTGGTCTTTTCTTCTATCAAAATAATTTTTTTTGTGGTGCGGTGGACGTGATTATTCATCTCGCACTTCTGGTCTGGTACGGCCATAAATACGATATATTTTACCTTAGCGGGGCGCGGTTAAAAATTAAGTAAACTGCGAATAAAAAAAATCCGGTTTATTTTTATCATTAATAAAATCGTTTTTTCGATATGACGTCAAAAATATTGAAATAAAAAAAATACCCCTTTCATCCCCCAGGGGCGCGGCTAAAATCATTTTAAAAATCCCAAAAAAAATCACAAAGATTTTTGACCTACCACACAACTTTTTATCTATATGACATATCATTTTTCAAAAAAAAAAAAATTTCGGCCTTTTTCGCCCCGGCCTAATAAGTAAGGAAAAATATTTGCACTTACTTAAAACTCATCCTGTATAATCTCCTACATAACATTACAACGCAACATAGCTTTCAAAAAAGTTTTGAAGTAAATGGTTTTACTAAATTGACATTTATTTTCAGGAACGCGCTTTGAGGTACATTGACACACTACCAAACGAGTTGGATGTTGGAGTGGGTGTCAAAATCAAATCAAATGGTCGAGTGTCCAAAAGAATGCAAAGAGAGGCTCTGCCGGATGAACCGAAAGCAAGGGAAAGTGCCGTGGAGAATATCCTTTGGGATCGCATCTCCGATTACCTTAGCACTCATGTGATCGAGCTGAAGATGCCTTCTAATACAGTTCACGATATGAAGAAGTCTGTGGAAGAAGGTAAAAAACTATCAATTTTCTTAAAAAAGTCAGTTTTTCTAGTTATAATTTAGCTGTTTGATAATCCTACTTTAATCAACCTAATACAACTAATAAAAACAGCAATATTTATAAAATAATGTTGCTGTCATTTGGTATCTTTAATTGTTTTCAAGAAGGTTTGGAGAAACATAGGGCTAAAGTGACATTGGTATTTTTGTTAGAGAAACTAAAGTTACCTTTAGCAGCTAACGGTTGTTTACACGATGAACATGAATTGTCATATTGTTTATTTACTATTTGATTAAAAAAAATACGAATTTAAAATATTATTCAAGTAGATATTTAATAGAAATATTCGAACATTCTTAACAGCCTTCGAATATCTCTTCTTTATTCGAAATACAGGTTGGTCCGAACTGTATTCCGGAAATTTGTCCTAAAATGCTTAATTTCGGAGATAAGGGGTAAATGTTTCATTTTTATTTCGATTTTTTCCAAATAACTTCTAAATTAACGTCAATATTTGGATGAAAATTGGAGACGGAGAGTTTTTTGACATGAGAAATTTGATTTTGATATCAATATGACTCCTATTTTTTAGGGGGCGTCACCTACATATGTTTTAACTGTTTTGAAGAGCAATAACTTTCCGTCCGTACCTGTATAAAACTACTGAGTGAAAAAATATACATTTCCGTGATTGCTTACGTAAAAAATGTCTCTTAGTTAAGATCGCTACAAGCAACCGTTCTCAAAATATTTAGAGTGGAAATAGTCAATACATGTCATTATTGACAAAAAATAAACATGTTGATTAGGTAGATAGAGAAGACTGAAATTTGGAAATTTTTTATTTTTTTAAATTAATGATAAATATTTCTTCGAAAAAATGATGATAAAACAAATTCTGTTGGACTTTTGGTACAACTTTCCAAATTTATGATTTCAGTCTAAGTCGTCATGTTTAATTTATGTCAATGATGACAGGTGTTGATATTTTCGATTCTAAATATCTCGAGGACCATTACACGTAGCGAATTTTACCAAGAGACCTATTTACGTAAAAAATGTCGTAAATGTATATTTTTTATACAGTTATATATTAGTAGTAAATACATATATATTTAGATTAGTTCTATACAGGTACCGGCGAAAAGTTATTACTCTTCAAACCAGTTTAAAAATATGTAGGTGGCGCCCTCGGTGGCGCCCTCTACAAGTAGTAGTCATATTGACATTAAAATCAAATTTCTCATGTCAAAAAACTCCCCGATACCAATTTTCATCCAAATATTGACATTACTTCAGAAAATATTTGGAAAAATCGAAATAAAAATGAAACTTCTACAACCGTTATCTCCGGAACTAAGAATTTTAGACCGGTGTGAACTTGGCAGCCGCGAATTGGCAGCCAAATAGCCGAGAGATCCCGAACGCGAAATAGTATCTGAGGTAGAGTTTTCGCACATGCGGAATATTACATATGACGTTATTGTGTCAATCTATTATAGCTCTTGGAATATATCCAACAGAAGGGTTTAATTTGCATAGTAGCCGAATAATATTGGAAACACATCTTAAAATTAATGAGTAGTATATTCAAGGGTACCTACATTAACACAATATTTGAAATAATCATAGAATTATTCCGATTCATTTCAAAAAAGACTAAAAATGTACACACCTCTAAATTACCGTGTTTCGTGCGACTGATATCGTTCTATATTGGAATGTATACAATTTACTTCCAAACCCTTGAATTAAAAAAAAACTAATTACGTATTCCGACTTAATTTGAGAAGAATACACCTCCAAATTTTGTGTATTAAAAGGAATATTTATGCTTTTCATACTTCCGTTTTCAAATTTACTTGCAAACCCTTACGGGGGTAGTTAAAGGGTTAAATTTAAAAAAATCTAACTAGGCATTCCGACTTAATTTGAGATGAATACACCTCTAAATTTTGTGTATTAAAAGGAATATTTATGCTTTTCATACTTCCGTTTTCAAATTTACTTGCAAACCCGTACGAGGGTAGTTAAAGGGTTAAATTTAAAAAAATCTAATTACGCATTCCGACTTAATTTGAGAAGAATACACCTCTAAATTTTGTGTATTAAAAGGAATGTTTATGCTTTTCATACTTCCGTTTTCAAATTTACTTGCAAACCTGTACGGGGGTAGTTAAAGGGTTAAATTTAAAAAAATCTAATTACGCATTCCGACTTAATTTGAGATGAATACACCTCTAAATTTTGTGTATTAAAAGGAATATTTATGCCGTTCATACTTCCGTTTTCAAATTTACTTGCAAACCCTTACGGGGGTAGTTAAAGGGTTAAATTTAAAAAAATCTAACTACGCATTCCGACTTAATTTGAGAAGAATACACCTCTAAATTTTGTGTATTAAAAGGAATATTTATGCTTTTCATACTTCCGTTTTCAAATTTACTTGCAAACCCGTACGGGGGTAGTTAAAGGGTTAAATTTAAAAAAATCTAATTACTTATTCCGACTTAATTTGAGAAGATCACACCTCTAACTTTTGTGTATTAAAAGGAATATGTATGCTTTTCATTCTTCCGTTTTCAAACTTACTTGCAAACCCGTACGAGGGTAGTTAATTATGACATTTGAGGGTAGTTAAATTTGACGGTAGTTTGCAAGTAAGTTTGAAAGCGAAAGTGTGGAAAGCATACAAATTCCTTTTAATACACAAAATTTAGAGGTGTATTCTTCTCAAATTAAGTCGAAACACGTAATTAGATTTTTTTTTAAATTTAACCCTTACTTACTTTTCAGATAAAGTATGAATACAAAATATTTTTTTTAATTTACCCCCATTACTACCCTCGCAAGAATTTGCAAGAAAATTTGAATACGGTTTCGAAAGGGTATAATTTCCCTTTAGTATATTAAATTTAAAGGTGTTTACTGAAAAAATAAAAATAATTATCTGATTGCTTCTAATATTATGTTAATGTTTTACCTTTGCAAATGTTTATCATTAATTTTAAGAACTGTTACAAATATTATTCGGCTACTATACAAACTAAACCCTTTTGTTGATTTGGTTTAGTTTGGTTTATTTGTTTTTATATTCTAAGGGTTAATAGATTGACAAAATGCCCTTAGTATATACAGGGTGTTTCAAAACAAATGCGAAAAACTTCAGGGGGTGATTCCTTGTTCAAAATAAAGGGTAGTTTGCTTTATAAACGTTGGGTCAAAAGTCAACCATTAGGGAGATATCGCGGTACAAAGATGGCGGAAAAATAATGTTTTTATTTTTTACCTTGAAAACGAAAAACGATAGACTAATGAAATTTTATGGAAAGCATTACTGTTATGAAAACACTTTCTGGTAATTTTTCACTTTTTAAAATGAGTGCAAGGGGTTGAAATAAACTACCCCTATCATTCTTGGTAACGAAATTTAAAAAAGAAGCTTATCAAACACATGCAAAAATTAATAAAAAATTAATTTGGATAGTTTAGTTTGTTTAGAAACTTTTTTATCTCTTATGTTTTTTGATAAAAACTCACCGATTTGAAATTAAAAATAAAATGTAAAGCATTACATGTCAGGACAAAAAACATTTTAGATAGAGAATCTAGTGGGCTGCTCTAATTTTTTAGGGATAAAATCTAGTCGGTCGCTGTCACTTTTTGGGGATGTTTCTAATATTATTTTATTGACATTACTCTACTGCAATGCGTTATTATCTAGATTCTTATTATTATCGTTATTATCACTTTAGATTCTTTATCTAAAAATGTTTTTATCCTGACATGTAATGCTTTGACATTTTATTTTTTATTTTCAAATCGGCCAGTTTTATCAAAGAAACACAAGAGATAAAAAGTTTCTAAACAAAACAAAGCTATCCCAAATTAATTTTTTTGCATAATGTTTGATAAGATTTTCTTTAAATTTCGTTAACAAAGAATGATAGGGTAGTTTATTTCAGCCCCTTCTACTCATTTTAAAAGTGAAAAATTACCAGAAAGTGTGTTTTCATAACAGTAATGCTCCCATAAAATTTCATTAGTCTATCTCTTTTCGTTTCCAAGATAAAAAAATAAAACTTTATTTTTCCGCCATCTTTGTACCGCGATATCCCTAATGGCTGACTTTTTGACCCAACGTTTATGAAGTTCATTATCCTTTATTTTGAACAAGGAATCGCCCCCTGAAGTTTTTCGCATTTGTTTTGAAACACCCTGTATAATATTCCGTATGTGCGAAAACTCTACCTCAGATACGATTTCGCATTCGGGAACTCTCGGCTCTTTGGCCGCCAACTTGTGGCTGCTAAGTTCACACCGGTGGATTTTAGGACATACATTTGTACGAACTTTTTTACTTAATTTTATCTGCCGAAGTTTCCGGAATACAGTTTGGACCACCCTGTATACACTCAGAGGCAAAAACGTAACGGAGAAGAAATATTTGTTCAAATTTAAAGTGTTATATTTTTATTATTTTTTATCCCTGTTTTCGTGATTTTTTTAGTAAGCGGTATGTAATTATATCAACTTTAATTCGTCGTAAACGAAGTTTCTTATAAACTTTTAGTATTTGGTATATTATACAGGGTTAATCGAGGGATTGTTTTTGTTACCCTAACTTTAAAACACCCGATGGACCACACCATCCATTATTTCAACTCTTTGAGTATGTTTTTTTTGTTTATTAGGTCGTACGTTTAGAGGACGATTTTTTTCTATGATTTCCAACTCACAAGGTATCTGATCCATTGTTACGATTTTCCCGATATTGTTTTTGTTGTTATGACATTTCTTAGTGTAGTCTAAGAGTTAATAATGGTTATCTATTTCCCTGAAGATGAAAGAAAAAGACTGAACATCTCGGTCCCATACATTTATATTAAAACTGGTCTGTTACACGTGTTTGTGGACTTTGTGTTGTTGTCTAAAAATATTCTTGTTTTTGTTAATACACTTAAATAATGACTAAAAAGTTGATACGTATCTCGCTGGTATTAAATACCGTATGACGTAAACGTATTTTTGAGATAAATGAAAATGTTCATCATGGTCAGATGAATTATGCATATATTAGAGCATCAAGTTACTGACGTTACATACAAGTTATTTATTTTCGTAATTTTAAATTTGATGCGAATAGACTTATCAAATTTCATACCACAAGATGTTTTGGGATTACCGAATAATACTTTTACCTGACACGAAATGCGTTACCAGGCCCTAGATACTCAATGGTAATTTTATAGAACTACAAATTTAGTTTCTTCCGCATCGCCAGACGGCGCAAAAGACATTAAAGTACAGGTTTCTAATTTATATTTGAAGACAACATGACGCATTGCATTTTTTTCAAAATTTCAATAATAAAAAAGTTCGTCTTGTAAAGACAATCCGGGAATATATTGTATTATACCTATTATACAGTCATTATGTAACTTACTGCAAGAATTTATTACTACATAAAATTTATTTTGATAAGTATATAAAATATACCTATATAAAATTAACCATATTAAATAAAACAGTTGTTTAAATATGTAGAATATGAACATGTGTGGTTTTAAGTTTATTTTGTTCCATAGCAAAATTGCCTTATATCTATCGAAAATAGTAGATAAAATAGTATTTTAACCGCAAGGGAGATTAGATAATGATACTTTAACAGCGAGGATAGGTTAAAAACTGTATTTCTTCTCGCACGTTTTTTAATTGCTTCCATTTTTGAAAATTTTTGTATTCCTTTTCATAAGTTATTCGGGATTTAAATGAAAGTAGTCTGTATATGGCGTTTGTCGCCTCAGCCTGAATATCTGTTGGTAATTTACTTATTTCGTGTTAAGCCATTTCTGGCTCCAGAGCATTAAAAATGGTCCTCCTACTAACAAACTATTGGAAAACAGAGAAACTTTTTTGGTTACTTTTGTTCACATGATGTGTTTACTTAAATTAGATTCCACCCCCATATAATTGATTATATCATGTATTAGACATACAATGTGGTCTATTAGTGCAAGTCCACTATCGTTGTATTGTCGAATATATAAAAAAGTTTTATAAAGATGTTACATGGTTTATAATGGTGCATATTTCAAAAATATTTGGTCGTATACAGGGTGCCACAAAAAAAGTTGTGAACACGTTTTTCTAAATTCCATCACCCATTTTTTGCAGATAATTGGATTCAGCATAAAAACATTCCATATATGTATTACCCTGTATAAGATAACGTAAATGTTCCTTTGCGGGTTTATTCTGTTATCCATGGTGTTTAGGAAAATATAGCTAAGTTAACATTATTTTTATTTGAAGCACTATATGGAGTTGCCATTCTATTTCTTATTTACTAAAGTTTTGGCTAAAAACACTATATCTAAAAATTGGTTATAAACTGGAGTAAATATAACTTTATTAATACTTAGAGAACTATATTTTTTCCTAAACACCAATGATAACAATAAATCCGCGAAGAAAAATTTACATTTTCTTATACAGGGTTTTTTATGGCGTCACGAAAAGCCGAATATTTAAAATTAACGTAAATTTTCCTTTGCTCTATTGAAATGCAACACCCTGTATATTTTTCTCGTTTAGCTGCAGAATTAAAAATGAAGTTGTTCCAAAATGTTTGACGGTTATGTAGATATTCGCTTTATTATATTACTTATGGGATTTTCAATGGTAAAATACCAGACAAAGATCATATTAGGTGGCTTTGAAAAAAAATTACTGTTGGAAAAGCCATATGTAATATGATTTATGAAAAATTTACGAACACTTTAAAGAGAAAAAATGTTTACTTTTTAATCCTCCATCTAAAAAAATAATATACAAGGTGTTGTATTTAAAAAAACAGATATAACATGTTGAATATTGCGATGTTGGTGATACCATATAAATTACCCTGTATAAGATAACGTAAGTTTTCCTTTGCAGGTTTATTCCGTGTTTAGGAAACACAGGTTTAGCGCACACAGAAAAAGGTAAGTTTTTATCTAAATAACCTATTATTTTCTTATTTTTTTACTGTAAATTGTCAAATATAAGTGTTTATTATGGTACTAAAGAAAAAAATAATAATTTTTCTTTGATTTTAGTTAAAATATCGGTAGTGTTAAAAATACCGGTGGTTCCTTATAAGGCCAATCAAAAGTTTGACGGTTGGCCTTGCTAGGGTACATGGGCTTTTCGAGGAACATTTTATAATAAAATATGTATAATTAATCACTGTTTAGCCTTTAAACAAAGTTTATACAAACGGTGCAAGTGGGCATTAGTTTTTAGTTATAAATACGTACCGGGAAAGTTGAAACAATGTTTTAAGTTTATAATATTATTATTTATAAAGGCTATTCAACTTTTTAGCTAAAAAAGTTGAATTTTGGCCTTACAAAGAACAAACTCATAAGAAGGCCAGTATAGGTAATTTTTTTGTAATTTCATTCCAAAACGCATTGGCAACTTATTTGTTATCGTTGTATTACTCATTACTATAATTTTTAAATAATTTCGAAAATATATTCTTAGTTATACGATTGTATTCAAGGAATGTTTTTGAGTGTTTTAAATAAGATTAAAATATGTTAAACATTTAATTATATTTAATAAGATTAAAATATGTTAAATATTTTGGCCTTGTATGGGGCCCTGTTCCTTGCAAGGACGTTTGAAAGAGTTAAAAATAAAAGTTAAGTTTAATAATTAGTGATTACCTTTAGTATAAAAAAGTAATGTATATGTTACACAATAAAGCAAAGTGTTTATTAATAATTTGTTTCTTTCATCTATCCAGTAAATGAACTAATAAAAACTTTTTATTCTTTACAGTGGCCTTCCATGGTCCATCTACCTTAGAACATCTCAAATAATTAACCAGGTATTGAAATTATATGTTTGTTGCTTTGAATTCATACGTCCGGCATCAATCGGGTGAAATCAACACTCCTTCGGTTAATATAAGCAAAGATACGTACTATCACAGCCTATTCATTAAGCAGCCAGTCGATTTAGCTAGTTTAGAGTTGTATCTCTTCGTTAGAGCACCAATAACTAATTATTAAATAGTAAATTTTATTTTTTAATATAACCCAAGTAAAAAATTATATAGTATACAGCATACAGATAATATTTAATGCTTTTAGCGAAAATAAAAATGAAAATTGTACTTTCCACTTTAAGAATCTTGAATATTCTAAAAGTTGTCAGTTTTTACAACAATCTAGTCTAAACGGAATGCATTATCTTGAAGGTGTTAATTATTCGCGAGAAATAATGGTAAAAGAAAACTTTCCACTTTTCTTTTCGTAGATACTGCCACGAACGACTTCACTGTTCCAGTAATATAATGTCATAATAATGACTTGGGGAGGCAGAAATGCAATGGAGCAAAAGAAAAGCTAGCGAGAGTGGCTGCACAACATAATAGCTCAATCCGTTGTGGGAAGAATAAAGTGCCATAAAATTATAGAATTTTATTCACTCTTAAAAACGAAATCTCTATCAAACGTTTTAGATTATATATAATGACCAGGAGCTTTACACTGAAAGCAAAATTTACGAGTGAGACTTTATTATCGCATTAAAATAAGGTTATGGTTCACCACTGGCAATCAAAGACCTCATAAAACCCAATAATGCAATTATTTTTTTCCTATGGAAAATCTTTTGTTCCTCTTATTGTGGAATTTTATTTGGTTCTAAAAACGGAAGCTTATTATTGAAATTAAATTTATTTTACTGTAATTATTTATTGCCGTCTGTATAGTATTACATTAATTTAGATCAAAACAAAGTCATTTTCCATTAGGACGTACACTTAAATACAATTCGATCAAAATAAAAACGGCATCAGAGGTGACTTGATATGAACATTGCTGCCATTTTTATGTGATATGTCATGGATTGTCATTTCAAAGCCAGCTAGAAGCCGTTTGTTTTTCGGATTATCTTGCTCCACATTGGTAAGTAGTCAACGAAAGGATACATGACCATGACAGCTGCGTCAGTAATTTTTTTTCACAGGTAATTTGTATTAATTTAATTCTGTAATTTTTGGATGCCGTCTGTCAAACTTTTCTCTGATTCTTTGGGCAAATTTTCTACCAAATATCTATTCTTTTATGGTTTTAACATATCTGTACCCCAGAAGCAGACTATTTTTGCAAAATCAGCCCCGCTCTAATATGACCTTTTGGAATCGCATCGATGCAGAGCAGTGATGAGCATTACGATTCTTTTTAGTGAATCGAATCACACGATTCGATTTGTCATATTGAATCGACTCCTACGATTCGTTCACTTGAACGAACCATGCAAAATTTACGTTTCAGAAAAACAAGATCGTAACTGGCACTACCGGCGATAATTTGGTCGGACAATTACTTAAGGGACTAGAAAAAACATTTCTTTCATTTGTTTTTCAACACTCTATGGCACTGGCGTAATTGGATTGATTATTTTACCAATAATATTAAATTATATCAATCCAGTTCATATACTATTTATTAAGGACTTCTTTATACCAATTTAATATTTTTAGAGTATATTTAAATCCGATTTAATAATCATATAGGTAATAAATAGTACATGATCGAAAAAAATGGCGTCCAGTTGGGTTGGAAATGAGCATCGATGACATTCCTCATATAATGTAATAGATTTGCATTTTTATGTTATAGATGTTTCGCGAATAATTTCTGACACAAGAACCTTTTAGGTGAAAATAGCCTTGTTAAAGACGAAAATCAGCATTTTTTTTAAAAGTTTTTCCTTGCAGTCATTTTTCATATAATTTTACATATAAGATGACAGCGATCTTTATTTTTAATAACCATCGCTGACACCGTTTTTTTATCATGTTGAGCAGAGGCCAACAATATTTTTTATTTGGTGTTGCATAAAAACACGATTTTGTCTTTTAGTCCGACATTTAAATGGTTTATAGTCGGTAAATATTATTTTAACAAAAATAATTAACGTGAAAATTAAATGCATTACAGATACTCTCGTACTAAGCACAATATAAATAAGTTTTTTTTCTTGTAAATAACTTTCCTATCTCATTCATTATATATAATGTTTGTTTATGCACCGCCGCGCCCTAGAAACGAAAAAGTCGCATTGTGATCCGATTCAATTCTTACGACTCTTTTTTACGGCTCATCGTTCAAATCCGTGCTGGGCCCGATTCAATTAAACGAACTATTCAGGGAATTATTTCTCACGATTCATTGAACAATCGAGCCGTAGAAACGATCGCATTGTGATTCGATTCAATTCTTACGACTCTTTTTTACAACTCGTTCGTTCAAATTTTATCCGTGGGTAGATAACCAGATAATTCTGTTTGTATGTGTGGCTGGCTAATTTAGATATATACACATAATTTATGTGTATATATCATGACAACGATAATAATCTGTAGTTGTAGTTTCTGTTTATAGTGTGTCTGTCGTTTTTCAATAAAAATTTGCCGGACTACAAAAGTTTTGCGTTTACTCCTGGTTTATTCTTAAGCCGAGTCTCTGAACAATAATACAACATCGTGTTGGCCACGATTCGATTGAACGAACCGCATTTTAAGCAGTGAATCGAGTCTTACGATTCATTTTTAATACTCGTTCAAATGAACGATTCGTACAATCTTTGCTCACCTCTAATGCAGAGACGAGAATGATTCAGACAAACGAACGAACGGCAGACACGCGAACATTCGAAATCTTCTCTATGCCCATCTAATAGTCTAGTTAATTTTATAGATTTCTGTTTTACTTCGATAAATAGCTACGGCCTATAGGCAAGGGGAACAGACGATCAGTATGTCGATAGTCGTGCTTGTGTATCGCGCCTTTTAAAATAAAATCCTTAGATAAATAGTTGTAAATAAGTTTGATAATTTTAAGTGTTTAGAGTTTCTTATTTTGTTAATTAGTGACAATAAATTGTGTTAATAAATAAGACTTTAATTAAATTATATACACGGAACCGAGTAAAAACTATGTTTAGTCACAAAACACAGTTTTGAGAAGAACGAATTTAAAGTTCTTTTTTGAACTTATTTCCTAATCACTGGGTTGTTTTTAAACCTATAATTGTAATATTTGGTATATGACCAGTGGGCGTTGCGTGAATTTTTGCTTTAGGCATACACTACGAAGTAATAATAATATTAAAAGTTTGGCTGCAACGACGTCCGGTCATCCTGCTGTTAAAACAAAACAATTGGTTTTTATATATTTTATATATATATATATATATATATATATATATATATATATATATATATATATATATATATATATATATATATATATATATATATATATATATATATATATATATATATATATATATATATATATATATATATATATATATATATATATCTATATATATATATATATATATATATATATATATATATATATATATATATATATATATCTATATATATATATATCTATATATATATATATATATATATATATATATATATATATATATATATATATAAACCAGCTGTTATGTTATAACAGTAGGATTACGGGAGGTCGTTGCAGCTACCCTAAATCGGAAAAAAGTTTAGATAAAGATAATGACTCGTACTTGACCAATTTTTTTCTTTTAAAAGCAACACAACTTTAACAGTACAACAGCCCAACGCCAGAACTGTTATCTTCAGTCAAATAAGCAATAATAACACAAACTTATTTAAAATTATTGTGAAATTAATTTAAAAAATTGTAATAAACTTCGATAAAACGTAGAAACCAGTATTTTTTTAATTGTATATACTTCTAATATCTGATTCATTCAGTACAGTTCAGTTGAAATGCGAACAAGGTAGAAGATTATATAAATAATCGGCTTTTCTTATTGCCGCTGGATCCCTAAACAAGGCCTTTAGAGTCAGACAGTATGGTTAGAAAAGTTAAAAAGACAAAAGATTTTCGTTTTCAAAAAAGTTTATTAGTTTATTGGTAAAGCCTAGTATACCGTATACCTACTAATTGCATATTCTTATATATTTAGTAATTTTTTCTTGTAGAAAGCATTTAAATTAAATATTTTTTTACTTAAAATAAATGTCCTAGTAGAAGAGTTTTACTAATAATAATATATTTAAAAATGTATTATCAACTTTTTATCATCGTTTAATATACATAAGGTACCGATTTTATAATATATGGAGAGTAAAGTCTGTTAAATATAAAATTACTTGAATTTACACCAATATTATTTATTAATTATATTATTGTATAGATTATTAATTTTACACTTACTTGCTGTATGATGGATAAAATAAATTTAATTTAAAATAAACCAAATTAACCGATTTATTAGTAAAAATGCCAAAGTAGATTTGAGAGAAAGAAAGGGAATATATAATATAATAGTATAGGGGCTTGGTGCATTTCAGTTGATTTTTAAAATTTCGCAGCAGCGCTCGGTACGGTAGAAATGAGAACTTTCTGGCGCTGTATTTCACGCAGTCCCACTTTTTTCCTAAAAATTTAGTAATAGTCTCAGATGAACACGAGGAACGGTTCTATATCAAGATATTGCTAAGCTAGAGAAGAGATTTTCAGAGAAGTGGAATGCAAGCATATTGGCGGAGTAGGTACTGCGGTTTTTGGGACGAGTTTTACCTCAAGGTATAAATGTCAAGCAAGCATCAAATAAAAATAGAGATCTTTTTATTTATTATTCTTTACAACTAAAATAATTCTTTTCACCTCTTTAAATTAAATACATGTCCATAAAAGTATTATTATTATCGAAAAGTGATAAAAATATGATAAAATAGAGAGGGAAAGGCCGGCCGTAGCTCCAGCGTTAGTGTGTCGATCTGCCGAGCGGAAGGTACTGGGTTCGATCCCCAGCCAGTACGGTCGCTTTATTTATTTAAATAAAAATATTTATTTATCTGAATAGAGCGACCAACGAGCCGCCATGCCACCTCAAGGAAGGCAATGGCAAACCACCTTGAGTATATTTTCCTTGTACAGCCTCTCAAATAGTGCCGTTCGGATTCGGTAATAAACTGTAGGTCCCGCGTACTTGTGAAACCCTGATGACACACATCAATTACATGCGAAAGGTAGCCGACGCTCTATACAGAGTATGGCACTGTAAGAAGAAGAGAGGGGAACTTTCTCAAAAACGGTGAATGATAGAAGAAAACGGGAGTGATGTTTGAGGGAGGGCTCGATATTTTTTTACAGACCAGTGTATTTAATAGTTTTGCATACGGAATATTCATGTTCAAAAACTTAATTAAAGAATTAATTATGACACTGTCCGATACTCCAGGTATTCGCTTTAGAGGATATTACGGGTGTTATTGTAACTTAACTTACCAACAATGGTGAGCAACATGTTATCCAGTAACAGGGCTATGGCGACGATGACCAATACGAGGCGGCGGGACTCGCGGCAGCGCTGGATCCAGCCGCCCAGCCGTGTGCCACTCAGCCACTCGTTCACGACGGTCATACCTGCAGTGGCCCTTTTACCTCAGTGAAACTCTATAAAAAAATATTAAATTCATTAAGCGAATAAGATTTTTGTTTGTCGAAATGATAACATAACCTTTATTTTTGCATGTCGATTAGGTGATAAAACAGTTTAATGTTCTTTGCTTTCTTATTTTGAATCTGACATGTAAAAAATGCTTAGTTTCTTATGCAATAAAATGTAATTTTATTTTGACATCAGTACCTATATCTAATAGTATAATAAGACAAGTAGAGGAAGTAAAGTTTTTAAAATACAATATATCTTACTTAATGGACAAACATGTACCACTCAATCCCAAATCCGTCAAAGAAAAACCTTATACTTTATACAGCCTTGATCATAAATAACATAAAGCTTTTATTAAAACTAAGAGATAGAGCGCACTCTAAGAATAAAACATAAGAATACAAATATATATCTTGTCTTCAGTACTATAGAGATCTCAGAAATTTTACGAAACACGCAATGATTGAATTATACAGGGACGCATTGAAAGCGCCATATGAAATAATACTGCGTGTATCCGAAAAACCATTAAAATTTTGAAATACTTTAAATAAAAAAATTTCATTTTTTAATTCTCCATCAACTAAAAAAATAATATACCATTGTGTACCAGGGTGTACCATTAAAAAAAAACAAGTAAAATTATTTTATATTTTTGGAAGTTTGGCGTAAAATACTAAACATCCTGTATGATTTTCGATTACCATATTTATAGCAAAGTAAGAACAGATCATCTAAAGTAAATATCTAATATAGTTTTGATTTCAGAACAGTTCTTGTATTTTTAATATTTTTTTAGAAGGGTTGAAAAATATTTATTTTTCATTTATTTTTTAATATCTCTGAAACTATTGAAACAGATTTACTCATATCTTAGGATTATGTAAAGTGATCTGAAAGGAAGCCAAAAATGCAATAATATACAGGGTGTTCCATTTAAAAAAAGTAATCCAGATCCACTCACACTTTTTTGAACCACCCTATAGAAGTTAAAATATTTTCCGAAAATACATTCTGGTACATACTTTAGGTTTGCACTTAAACAACATTTTCAAGTTTTTTATTCTAACTAAATGGCAAACGTTGTTGTGCCATATAAATTATTCCTAGGATTATTCTTAGGATTACTTTATTAGAAAAAAAAATTGTGTGCGCACTATGTGCGCATATTTGAAGTGAAGCTTCTGGTTGCCTGTCCGTCTGTCCGTCTGTAAGACGTAAACGAAAGTCCAGACGTAAACGAAACGTCGCGCGTCGTATCCAACTTTCCAGGGAACCTTTTGCTCTTGATATAGGTATAAATGCGACATTTCTTGCCATTTACTAAAATGTTTGTGCCACTAAGCACAAACTCTCTAAATAAGTCGATCATATCTAAAGCAGAACAAATATCTTCTTCAATGCTTATTATTGGTAAATTTTATAGTTACGATTGGCTCGTAGTAAACTTCAAGTCGGTTTTTATAAGATATAGAAATCCACCAGAATCCTGTAACTTTTTTACGCAATAATATACGTATAACTATATAATATCGTATAATAATACGAATTTAACCATTGGTGTTAATTAATTGTTAATACTTGCACATTGAAATTTTTATGACCTTATTTGATAATATATCTATAATTGTATGATGATTGTAAAATCTGAGTATAAATAGGCATCGGTTAAAAACGATAACATTGATTTTTTGCAAATATTTTTGTTGTGAAGACAGTGTAAAGTTTCGTTTAAAGCTAGACATGATAATTTTTTTTCTTTTTTTCATTTGTTGTTTAATAAAGGGAAGAAATGGAATTCCTCCTGTTGATGTTTATGTTCACTGCCGTGGTACGTATTAAATTTATTTAAATATATTAAAAATATTTAAACCAGATTTAGTTTTGTCACAATTATTATCTTTTTATTTAATTTTGAAAATAATTTAATAACAATTGCTTAGCGGTAATTACTTATTCCGTACAGTGTGCAGTTGTGCATCAAGTTTGCAAGAAATGTATGGCCTAAAAGCTTGATCTCAGAACTGGTGTTATATCCTAGGCGATGCCCTAAATAGCCAATGAAACTTATTCAAAACCAATAGCTGTCAATTTTGAATTTTGTACAATTCTAGTTGGCTTTTTATGGTGTCGCCAGTGACACAACATATTCCTGAGAACGAGACTATACAAAAAATATATTTACAAATTAAACTCATGTGATAACTGTCAGGGCGGTAATTTATAAAAATTTAATGCTGTGAAAAGTTGGGTTAAATGAAAAATATAGAAAACCCCGAAAGAAAAAGATATTCAAAATTCAATTTTACGTCAATTTTAATAAATATTTAGAACGTTCCAAAAACAATGTATCAAGTAAACGTATCCAATAAAACTCTGTGTAACTATTTTTGCTCAGTGTAGGCTTAAATCACAGTTTAAAGACTACTGTGCTTAAATTCTCATTCCAGAAACTTAATGTCATAATCTGTATCAAGTGTGAATGTTTGATTTTAGAATATTTTATTTTTTATTCAAAGCTCTCCCCAAATTATTAATTCTTTATATTTTATATTTAGAGGAATTCTATAGTAGTTTTACTTTTAATCCTAATTTTACTACCTACATATTTATAGTTTTAGAGCTTGGAGTAAAATAAACTGCCTGTTAAGTTACCAGTTACCAAAGGTTTGATACTGGAATTGCAATAGCATAGCATTTGTAATTACCTATATATATATATATATATATATATATATATATATATATATATATATATATATATATATATATATATATATATATATATAGCCTATATAGCATTAACTATAATAAAAACGCTCATCTGAGCAGTCTTTTTGGTCACTGTTAGGACATGCAGCTATCAAAATTTTCAAGGTACTTATAAATGACTGCCGCGGCATATGGTCGTCTTTTTGGAACAGACGACCTAAAAAACAAAAACACGTAAAATATCTTCATCAGATACCTGCATAATTGTTTGCCCATAATTCGTTTATTTCTTTGCTATTTGTATGCATTAGCATAACTAGAAATTAATCCTGGGGGGCTGTGGTTGAGCCCAGGAGGGCCTATGGCTTTTTTTTAAATGAAAGATAATTTAAAAAAAACACATTTTTTTAATAAAACGTGTACATGAATTTCTCTCAATAAATATTATAGACTTGGTTATCAAACCGTGTTCCCGTAGATTACTTAAATACCTACAAATTTTCTAAAAAAATAAAAATTGACACATTTTTTGAACACAACAAAATAATATTAACTAAACAAAACTAGAAAACGTCAGTTTTACTACATCACAAGCAAATAAAAATTAAAACGTAGCCAAGGGTCATAATTAAAGATTTCTCTGGGGGGTGTCCAGCAGTACCTGGGAGGGGCCCGGCAGCATATTCGGAATTCGCCGACACATTAGCCGCTCGGGATAGTTCGGGTGCTGCGTAAAGTGCCGACGTATTAGACTAATACGTCAGCGATTTACGATGCGCTTAAAATATTGTTACTTTCTTCGCAAGAGTTTGTAAATTGGATTAATTTGATCTGCGTAATTTTTTATGATCAATCAGTAATCGTCTGTATTGGTTTTCATTGTTTGCCAGTGATTAGCACATTTCGAGCAGATTGCTAATTCAAAAACATGGATTTTAAGACATTACCAGCTGTACCTGATAAATAAATAGTCTCCAATAAACTGAGGTTACAGATTACTGATAAAAACAGATTTTAGATTGTAGATGCTGCTTTTTGAAGAGAAATTAAATAATAACAGTAATACTATTAATGTATCATTAATATAAAATAAATAGTAATAGTACAGCTTTTGTTTATACTGCGCAAAAGTCTTATACGCTTTCATGTGAATGCTAGATATACCATACAATTACAAAAATGGCGTCAGAGATGGCATTGGAATAAAGATAACTGTCATTTTGTATGTAAAATTATGTAAGGAATGTCAATGATCATCGTTTCCAAACCAACTAGACGCTGTTTTTTTTTTCGATCATACGGTACTTGCGATAAGTCTTAAAACTTAACTTACCCTTTATTAATGCTCCTATCATTCTATTATCGGCATGGAAGCTTAAAACTGCTTAGCGAGTAAATTTTAGTTTATTTTTATTTTATTATAGAATGGATAAGTGATGCCTTGGTAAATGTTAGAAGATAATTTTTTGAAAGAGTTTTAAAAACATTTTAAGATTGGCTCTGATACTACGTCTAATAAGTATTTAGAAGATTTCATCACTGCCATTTTGATGGCAAACAAAAGAAAAATAGGGAAGCGAGCCGCAAAAGAACTTCACGAAATATAGACTGTCCAGTAAAATTATTAGTAACTATCAAACAATTTCTTCTAGATACAAAATTAAAAAAAAATACGGGATTAGGAGGTAATAAATCCAAAAAATAAAAATATGTCTTAATGTTTTTATATTCATATATATTTTTGCTAATATGTTTTTCTTAGACTTAAGTTGTTTAGTAATGTCTATAAACAAAGTAATCCACCATCATTTCGCCATTAATATTTATCTAACAGAAAGTATGTTTTTTAAGTTTTAAATTTTAGTTAGAATTTTATACTAAAAATGACAAATTGAAAATTGCTTCATAAAATTTTTGAAAATCATATTGCTTATTTTAAATGGAATACACCGTAAAGTTTAATTTTAGTATGAAAGATAATTTCTGTTTAAGTCTGTTTTGTATAATTTTCTAACAGTTCTCGATTTACCATAACCATAACTGTAATGCAATATGCAGACAACAGTAATTCGTTTTCGTAAATCACCGACGCATAAGGGTTGGGACTAGTCTAAAGCACTGACGTATTAGACTAGTCCCAACCCTTATGCGTCGGTGATTTACGACAGCGAAATACTGTTGACTGCATATTACATTATAGTAAAGGTTATATATCGAGAACTGTCAGAAAATTATAAAAAAAACAGACTTGAACAGAAATTACATTTAATATTAAAATTAAACTTATACGGTGTATTCCATTTAAAATAAGCAATATGAATTTCTAAAATTTCATGGGGCAATTTTCAATTTGTCATTTTTAGTATAAAATTGTAACTAAAATTTTGTTAACTTAAAAAAATACTTTCTGTTATATAAATTATTAATGGCGAAATAAGGGTGGATTACCCTGTATATAGAAATTACCTCTAAGGAAACTACTAATCAACTTAAGTTATTTTGCTTACAAAGCGTATTATCAAAAAACATATAAATAGAAAAAAATGAAGACATATTTTTTTATTTTTTTGGATTTATTCACTCCTAATCCCATATTTTTGTTAATTTTGTGTCTTGAAGAAATTGTCTGATAGTTACTAATAATTTTACTGGACAGTCTATAGTTGTTTTGCGGCTCAGTTCCCTATTTTTCTTTTGTTTGCCATCAAAATGACAGTGATAAAATCTCTTAAATGCTTATTCGACGTAGTCTCAGAGCCAATCTTAAAATGTTTCTTAAACTCTTTCAAAAATTTCTCTTCTAACATTTACCAAGGCAGTTATCCGGTTCTGTAATAAAATAACCTAACCTAACCAAACTAAACAAACTAAAATTTACTCGCTAACCAATTTTAAGCTTCCATGCTAGAATGATTGGAGCCTTAATAAAGGGTAAGTTAAGTTTTAAGACTTATGGCAAGTACCGTATGATCGAAAAAAAACAGCGTCTTGGAAATGGCGATCAATCACATTCTCTGTATAATTTTACATACAAAATGACAGCTATCTTTATTTCCAATTCGCCTTTTTAATGATAGAAGACGCCTTTTTAATGATACATTAATAACATTACTGTTATTATTTAATTTTTCTGCAAAAAGCAACATATCTAAAATTTGTTTTTATCAGTAATCTGCAATCTCAGTTTATTGGAGGCTATTTATTTATTAGGTACAGCTGGTAATGTCTTAAAATCCATGTTTTTGAATTAGCAAACTTCTCGAAATATGTTAATCACTGGAAAACAATGAAAACCAACTACAGAAGATTGCTGACTGATCATAAAAAATTACGAATACCCATTACAGCAGATCAAATTAATCCGATTTACAAACTTGCGAAGAAAGAAACAATATCTTGAGCGCGTCGTAAATCGCCGACGTATTAGTCTAATACGTCGGTACTTTACGCAGCACCCGAACTAACCCGAGCGGCTAATGTGTCGGCGAATTCCGAATATGCGGCCCGGCACTTCCGGGCACCACTGTAGTTACGCCAATGTTTGTATGATAAAAAGAAAACTTCGGCAGAGAGTCTCGTTTAGAAGACAGACGCGCCCAAGCAATAGATATAAAAATGTTTTTATACGGGGTGAGTTTTCTAATGTTATTTGGGCGCGTCTGCCTTCTAAACGCAACCGTCTACCGAAGTTTTCTTTTTACCATACAAATAGCAAATAAATAAACTAATTATGTGTCAAAAATTATTCAGGTATCTGATGACGATATTTAACGTGTTTTTGAAATTTTTTTAAGTCCTTTATTCCAAAAATGCTACCATATGCCGCACCTTGCATTCTATTAGAGTTTTCCATTTCTTTAAGACAATTTTTAGCCGACCATACCAACAAGTATGGTAGGCTATTAAGATCAGCAAAAAAAGTTCTTTTAATTTCACTCAAAATGAGTTATTTGGGTCATAAATGACCTCAGTACAAAATATTTTTATGGTGTCTGTCTGTCCGTCTGTCTGGAACACGATAACTCAAAAACCACTAAATCGATTTTAACCAAATTTCGCACAAAAATACTGTGGCACCCGAGAATCTGGCCATTAGTTTTTGGTGGGGGTGGGGGATTGGTAAGGGGTATGGGAGGGGGTTAAACATTTTAAAAAATCGTAACTCCAAAATTACAGTAGCTAGCGAAACGCTGTTTTCAATTTAAGATTAGGAATAATATTTGCAACAATATTTGTAATATGTAACATCAAAATCAGTCAAAGTCGCAGTTTGAGATAAAAAAAATTGGAAAAATTCCTTTACTTTGAAACTAAAAGAACTGCCTACCGACTTTTTATTAACATATTTTAGTATGGGCGGCTATACGTGCCTCCCGGCGCCAATTTTTTTTGTGGTCATAATGGGTAAGTTTAATATCATTTTTTTTTTCAAAATTTTGACAGTTGCATGTCCTATCGGTGACCGCGAAGACTCGGTAAACGAGCGGTTTTATAATACGTAATGCTACGCTATTGCAATTACAGTATCAAACCCTTTGGTAATATATCAGATAATTCATTTTACTCCCAGCTCCAGGACCAATAAGTTTTGATAGATTGTATAAGAAAATATATTGTTTATTCTCTAGATAATGTGTCTATTTGTGCTGTGAATTTTGAAATTGATTTAGCCACTTTATTATAGTATTTGCATTTTTTTCTAGAAACATATTAATTTTTCATAATTTTCAATAATTTAAATTTAAACCTCCTAATTAGTTAAACATTGAATAAAAATACTAATAGGAAATAGTCAAATACTAGTAGCATATTCATAGACCACAGAAAAGACGCTATTTAATCTAGATTTTGTTCGAAGTGAGACGTTCGACGTTTGAGAATCGTCGATTTTCTCAAAAGGAGAAATATAAGTTTCTGTGAATTTGTTATCATTTTTTGTATTTATTTTGTATTGTTTTTTGTTTCTATTATAATTGATTTTATGCAAAGTGTATATATAACTGGAAAACATCGTGTGAAGACTTGAACTACAGCGAAAATATCATGAATCTTAAAAGGACACTTCAAGAACACAATTGCTTGTGCAGGGTGCATCATTCCGTGATTAAAAGTATGAAAAATATTAGAATAACTTCCCACAAATAAGTAAATAATATGTTACAAATAGAAAACTAATCAATTAAGAAATTGGTTTATTGTTAACCGGTGTTAACTAAGTTTTTTTTTTCTGCATGACTAGTATTGTTATTCTTGTAAATTCTAATTATTTGTTCCAGTAGGATGTTTATTTATACATTAATTTGTTTATTTTTATTCGATATATATTTTTTCAATAAATTTCAATTATTATCAACATTTGTTAACTCAGAAAAATAGAAAATTATTTGCGAACAATATTTTATATTCTAAATAGATATAGTTAGTTCTAACGGCTAAATATTATTTTTCTCTTTTATTTTATATTTTTTAGAACCGTGTCCAAACAAAACGACCTATTACGTCAGTAGTACCCAAGTTGAGTTTGTCCGAGCTTTTGTATTATGTAAAGAAAGGGACATGGATTTAGCTTCAATTATGTCGGAGAAAGAGGAACTTGCTTTAAAGAAACATATGGAAGGAACAAGTAAACAAGGTACTTTCCGTGAAATACAAGCAACAATGTTTTTTTACCTTTGTAAATGAGCAGATGTACATTTAATTATATATTCATTCACTTTTATGGATTATAACTTTAATAAAACACCCTATCTAATGATGACATTTTGCAAGGTGTCCCACTAAGGAATAGCTCTCGACTCTATCTTAGAAAGTATTAGCCGTAGGGTCTGTGGAAAAACTATTTATAACTAAAGAGGGCCATGATAAATTGTTGGAAATGATTTTCAAGCTTGTGGAACTACCACCAGAGCTCAACTGCTATATCAAATAAGAAAGTGAAATTTTAAAAAAAATTAGCCTAGATAAGCGGTCTAACTACCCTGAGGTGGAATTCGGCAACGAAATAGCGATCGGTAGCGATGAAGAATACTATATCTCTTGCCGTTCAGTTTGTACGGCCAAGGTCAGTATTCTTTATCACTACCGATCGCTAATTAGTTACAGAGTTCCAGCCCAGATTGCCTAATAAATAATATCTTCATAATTTTCAGAAAATTTTGGATTTTTGTAGTGTTAGAACCATTTTCCCTTGTCTCATAAAATAAAGTGGTGGGGGAAGGTTAGATCTGTCTTTATTTAAATGTTAATAACTCCGTCCTGGATGATCGGAATTCAACAAATGAGGGCTTAAAGGGCGCTTCTCATGTCCTCTTTAGCTATAAATATTTTTTTCCGCAGACCCTACGGCTACTACTTTCGAGATAGAGCTGAGTGCTATTCTTAATGGAACACCTTGTATATTTAAGTCTTCCTGTTTTTATTCCTATTTGATATCTAAAAATGGCTTCGAATGTTTTAAAGATTTACTGTTATGTATAATGATGATATCAGTAGATTTTCTTAATTATACATGAAAAATAAATATGTATATTATATACAGGGTGGAGCACCTCATTCGCCTCGGTTGATTATACGAAAACGGAAAGATGTAGAAACAATTATATATAATAACTCCACATTATGACAAACACAGCGTAGAATTAGATTTCTATATCAGCAGTTAAGTGGCAAGAATCTTTATATAATTTTATTATATACCTATACTGCAAGAAATTTGTTTACTATTTTATAATTTGGCTTGCCTGAAAAAAAGCCTTTTACCATCCTATTACTATCGACAGGGCGCCTCGGTGGTACGAAAGTACTACCATTGCACTCAGGCCGCTATCTCCCGTTCGGGACTTAATATCTAACCGACACTTTCCGAAAAGTCGGAATTAACTATCTCTGCGCTGCGGTTGTCATTTTGTGGATCTGCCCAAGCTCACCTGATGATGGAGTAGGGCTCTGAAACCGGTAGTAAGAGCAGGTTGATCCACATTATGACAAACACATCGTAGAATTAAATTTCTATATCAGCAGTTAAGTGGCAAGAATCCTTATATTATTTTATTCTTATATTATCTATATTATCTAGAGATATTAAAGATCCATTTAAAGCGTCAAGTCGAGAGATCTGGCAAAATTTGCATAACGGACCAACGATTTGGTAACCTCGAAACCGATAACTATTTAGGTACTGGCAATCTGGAAAGCTTTATCATAAGCTTTATGCAGAGAATCGGAAAACTAAAGCAGGTGTACGTTTTTTTGTTTGTCTATGAGCGTACGGCTGTTTGAGTATTTGCTATAATATAAAAAAATACTTAAAATACCTATTTTATGTTACGCATTTTTACATTAATTTTTATTTTTAAGCTGGCCCGCACAACGGATTTTGGTTGAGCGGCACAAGATGGGGTAGTGGTTGAGCCGATTTTGTTTGGTTTAGTACTGGACAACCCATTGTTTATAGAAAATTTGCTCAGGGTCAGCCAGACAACGCTGGAAATAACGAACCATGTGTTCAGCTAGTATATAATAATGATTCCAAATATGTCTGGAATGATATATCATGCAATGCAAATTTGAGATATATCTGTCAGAAAACAGAAAAAGTTTGTTGATTTCTATTATTTTAACGAAAAAAGGAGAGACGAGATTTTTTTATCCAACAAAAACTTTGTTGATATAAATGCTTGAAGCCGGACTTGACTATAAAACTGTTTTTAAGAAGAGAGCTTTAAACAGGTTAAACCACCAAATAAATAGTTGTATTATATATGTACCTATAACATATTACATATTACTATAATAAATTAAATTAATAAATATATGATTTACTAGAGTGCCTTTTATTTATTAAAAAATGTAAATATGTATATTAATAATTAATATTATTTAATTTTTTTTCGCTACACATACACTGGCCAAATTACAATGAGTTCCGGGATAGAAAACTGCATTTTAAAATTGCGAATGTTTTTGTTTATGCAAGTTGTTGGTAATATACTAGAGTCGGCATTTCTAGCCACGGGTGCCGATTTTCGTGTGTACGAAGAGTAGGGTCAATACGCTTAGTAAAGATGTACTGAACAAAGAAGAGCAAGTATTTCAATACAAGAGCACGCGTATCAAATCTGGAGCCGGATTAAGTAGTTATGTAATAAATATTTCGCATTTTTGCTCTCTCCGACTTACTAGACTGCCATCGCCATAGTGATTCACTCCTAGACATGTAAATGCCGCCTCAATGTTTTGTTGACCAGTAGGGTATAGTATTGTGGAGTAGACTACATTAAAATAGCAAAATAAAACATTAATTCAACACAGTACTCCAAAACACTTTACTTTTGCACTAGACGCGCATTTCGCTAACCATGTTAGCATCATCAACATCAGCTGTTTAGCTCCTTAGTTTGGGTTAGCATTATGCTGATGATGCTAAGATGGTTAGCGAAACGCGCTTTCAGTGCAAAAGTAAAGTGTTTTGGTGTATTGTGATGGATTATTGCTTTATTTTGCTATTGCATCGCCAAATATTCCAACCCCAACAGTAATATACAGGGTGGTCGAAATTGGTCTGTTTTAACAGAGAAAACCTATTTCCTGACTAGATAGAGCAAAACCGACATAGATGTCATGGGCTCGATTTCTGAGACACTTTAAATGGCGTAAACGGCCTGTTGATATTTTCACTGCCAACTGAGATACAGGGTCTTTACAGTTTTTTTTCTACGCTTGCTCTTTTTATCAGAAATAAGGAAAAATATAATTTTTTAAATGGAAATCATAGTTGGCTATGAACTTAAAAAAATGCTGGCGTTTAATTCTATCGAACGATATAAAGTTATGTGTATTTATTTCTAAGAATGAGAGAAATATTAGGTTTTTCATCTTTGTATCGAAGCGGGCTTTGATTTTGTATTGACTTAGTTGCCTAATTATTTTTTATCACAATTTAATATTCTATATTATTATTTATCTACATAATTAAAGACTTTTGAAAAGGCAAATCAACATTCTATATTAGTATTACTATTTACAATTAAAACACCAGGGTTACAACTGCACTATTAAATGGAGAATTTTATTTAGAGAGAATTGGATTGGAACAAGGGGTCCCATGTTTTGGCCTGCTAGGTCCTGTGGTTTAACTGCTGTCGATTTTTCCATGGCGGAAATTAAGAGACCTTATATATAAGGGAAGAACCACTGGGACGAGAGAATAATTACAAAAGGCTACTAGGCCGAACCAAATCAGTTCGCCTAATAAATCGTAACTCTGTGCGCAAAAGGTATTTATTGTGTATTCAACGAGGGTGCTCAAAGTTTGAACATATCTGGTGATTTTTTTTAGAAAACTATATTTGTCGCTCAAAAAACGTTTTTTGAATTTTGTTCTTTGTTTATTGTATCGATTTCAATTGTAATTACTAATACTAGATACTAGCAAGTTAATTTACCTTTTCAAAAGTCTTTAATTATGCAGATAAATAATAGTATAGAATATTAAATTGTAATAAAAAATAATTAGGCAAATAGGTCAACACAAAATCAAGGCCCGCTTTGATATAAAGATAAAAAAACCTAATATTTCTCTCATTCTTAGAAACACATACCCATAACTTTATATCGTTGGAAACTGTTAAACGTCAGCATTTTTTTAAGTTCATAGCCAACTATGATTTCCATTTAAAAAATTATATTTTTCATTATTTCTGATAGAAAGAGCAAGCATAGAAAAAAACTGACTACGCCACTGGATTGTGGTTAAAAAAGTGCCTTAAGAACGTTTTTACAGAATTTTAATATTCCTCGAAATAAAAATGTTATGGGCAATTTTCCAAATGGTAAAAAATTCCAAAAGACGTGTCTCGGTTGGCAGTAAAAATATCAACCGGCGGTTTACGCCATTAAACGTTTCTCAGGAATCGAGCCCATGACATCTATGTCGATTTTGCTCTATCTAGTCAGGAAATAGGTTTTCTCTGTTAAAACAGACCAATTTCGACCACCCTGTACATTAAAATGACAAAAAAATAATCATTGTTGTAACAACTTTGAACCGTGGCAAACCCTATTTGCGAAAACTTTTTGATAGACATCCTTATAACATCATGCAAGAATAAAAATAGCTTTAATTTGACATATAATATACATTTTATATATTAATTCATTATAATAAAATAAAATCATAAAAATATTGTAATTATATCCCTGCAGTTTAAGTGAAAAGTTTTGTTATTATAGTTGAGGATTGGAACCTTTGGTGTTACACAGCAAAATAAAACACTAAATCACCACAATACACCAAAACACTTTTACTTTTACAGTGGACGTGCGCTTCGCTAACAATGTTAGCATCATCAGCAGATGATTAAAAACTAAACTACAATCTACAATTTGAGCGTTTATAATAAACTCGCTGGCGTGGCAAGATCTAGCCAACCGAGTCAGGGTCCACCGAACAGTTAGATTTCCGCCACTTCCGACTCTGCATCTTTACGATATTAATTCTGATGCTTTCGCATATGCATCTAATTGCCTGTAATTTGAGACTTGTTTAATTGACGAGAAGATTAATTAATTATTTTTTTCTGGAAATAAATCGAAATGCGTTAAAGTTGGACGACGAAATGCGACTTTGACATGTTTCGAAGTGTTTCTCGCATAGTGTAGATAGTAGCCTTGTATATGAATTTAGTAGATAGTGCTGTTTAACATTTGTGCTTGTTTTAAATTTGTAACCTGTAAGTCGATTTTATATGAGTGTCTTAACTTTTTGAGATATTTTGTGTAGTTACATTTTTAAATTTAACACCTAAAATTGTAGCAAATTGAAGTACGATTAATATTTCTCTTATTTTATTTCTTAGTCAGATGTAAATTACAAAAGTAGGAAATACGTAATGAATTTCAGAAGCTGTAATAAATTGCCAATCTTGATTATACTGAAATATTATTAAAAATGCTGAACCTGGCTAGGCGCCAGTGTGTGATAGATAATAATTTAATTTTAAAACTTAATAACCTAACCCGAGCGTTATCGCTTCTGTGTTAGAATATTATTATTCAATTCAAAATATATAATAAAAAAGCTGCTTTATGCTTTTAAATATGTTTTTAGAATTTCTGCTAGGTTAAACTTTATAATTACAATTGGGGGTTGGAACATTTGATGTTTAGGGATACACAGCAAAATAAAAACACTAAATCACCACAATAACCATGTTAGCATCATCAGCAGATGATTAAGACTAATGGTTACTAATATATTACGGAAACGCGCGTCCAGTGTAAAAGTAAAAATGTTTCGGTGCATTGTGGTGATTTAGTGTATTTATTTTGCTTAAACTTTATAGCCCCAGTACCACAGCAATATCGGCAAAATATTATATTTACATATCGACCTAACGCACGATGGAAACGTCTCCAATATTTATATTTACAGATAAATATTGTCCCAATATTCCGAATTAATACCGGGTGCATCTCGAAAGCCTCACCCCTCAACTTTTTTATTTTTCAGGTAAAAAACGAGATTACACCTACACATTTTTTAACGGGGTTGAAGTGTATTAACTTTTCGTCCGTACCTGTATAAAACTACCGAGTAAAAAAATATAGATTTACCACGTTTTTTACGTAAAAAAGTCTCTTGGGAAAAATCACTACTAGTAATGGTTCACCAGATATTTAGAATCGAAATTATCAAAACCTGTCATTGACATAAATTAAACATGTTGACTAAACAGTTATTAGACGATATCATATATTTGACATGTTTTTATTCCAAAAGTTCAACAGACACTGTTTTATCGTCCTTTTTTCGAAGAAAAATAAAAACTCAACATGTTTATTTTTAGTGAATAATGACATATATTGACTATTTCCATTCTAAATATCTTTATAAAAGTTGCTCGTAGCGATTTTTACCAAGAGACATTTTTACGTAAAAAACGTGGTAAATTTATATTGTTTTACTCGGTAGTTTTATACCTGTACAAACGAAAGTTATTACACTTGAACCCAATTAAAACATATGCAAGTGGCGCCCCCTACAAATAAAAGTCACAATGACATCAAAATCAAATTTCTCATGTCAAAGAACTTGCAGAGAGAATTTTTCCTCCAAATATTGACGTTACTGCAGAAATTATTCAGAAAAAATAGAAATAAAAATGAAACTTCTTCACCCTCCAAAACTCCAAACCTAAGCGTTTTAGGACATATATTTATACGAACTTTTTTAATTATTTTTATCTGCATAATATGTTGCCGAAGTTTCCTGAATACAGTTCGGACCATCCTGTATATAAACGACGAAAAATTTTTAACTAAAATATTTAAACGTAATATCGTTTCCAAAATCAGTTATTATAGTTCAGTCATTGGGGATTTTTGCTTGGAAAAAGGTCCTGATGTTTTGCAACTCTGCAGGTTTATAGGTTTTGGGGTCCCTAACTTAAAATCCATAAAATGCACATTTCCAGACTTGCCGCCGGCGCCGCCATCTTGTCAAGATGGCGCCCAAAATCGGTATTTT